GATGCAGCTAACACCCCATGAGGCACAGGACGGTCCCTGCAGCTCACTCCAGAGTGGTCTGATCAAGGTCAGTAGCGGCAAGACTGAGAAACTGTAGAACCATGTGCTATGTGACATCTATAACTATGCAATATGCCATATGTACACAAGCTATGTGTGTATCACAAACTATGCATATATAAACTCCACATGTATGTTATATATGCAATGTATTATATAATATCTATATACTCAATGTGTGAATTTTATGTACAATGTGCCATATGTATATAAACTATGCATGTATTACACACACAGTGTTATATAATATATAACCTCTACCTGGATATTATATATGCAATGTGTTTTATAATATCTATAAACTCAGTGTGTATTATATATGCAATGTGTTATATAATATGGCAGCCAGGGTTTGTGTTATAGAATGTTGCTATTCTTTCTCTTTCTACCAACAACCTTCTCTGACCATTCTCTTTATTTTTATAATTCTTTCCTTGTTGTTTTACTGGAAAATTTAGCCTCACACTCTAGGTAATTCCATAAGGACCATTTTATTGTAAAAATGTTCCACTAGGGTCTTATATGTTCCTACTGCTCTGTAAATTGTAGATAAGAATAGACATTAATCAGCAATTTTTGTTACTTTTACCTAGTGATCCAAGTCAGCTATGTTCAATCCCAGCCTGACCATAGATTTAAGAACTCAGAACCCCTGTACCCAAGACCTGGAGTCCTGTATTATTTTAAACCCTCCAGGAATCATTCTAACATAGAGATGATCCTAAGGTCCCTTTCAAAGACAAGTGAACTTGTGTGATCATTGCATCAGTAATGTACCTGGGGGAGACAAATGCAACAAAGACAGGACTGATACATGTGAGCTCTAAATTCACAAAACACCTAATCTTTCTATCCCTGAAGATATAATTGTAGTGCTTAGGATGGTGGAACAGACCATGAATTGTAGCCAAATTCCTTCTCCAGCACCATCCCTGTTGCCTCTGGCTGATACGCGCTCTCGTCCCATGCTGTTAGGCACCCCATGCGCCAACAGCAGAGCTCCAACATGCAGGAGCATCACTCATATTCACGTGAGTTGTTCAGCACAGAAATCCGATTACAGAATTCAGAGTTGGTTGCTTTTGGAAAGAGACTGGGACTGCATGCATCTAGCGACTTACAAAGTGGTAGAAAGAGGTAGGGATGGAATATTGGAGCAAGGAGTTGAGTCTTGTGAGCTTGGAGCGAACCATCATTGGGTTATAAAAAAGATACTGGTTTTATCTTTTTATCAAACCGAGAAGTCATAATGTGAAAATTGGGGCAGGGAATCCCTGTTAGCCCTGCTGTGAGAGGGTGAATTGCCTCTCGTACTCTTTCAAAGCTGTTTCCCTGGGCCCAGCGCTGTGGTGCGGTAGACTAAGCCTCAGCCTGTGGCTCTGGCATTCCATATGAATGCCATTCCTGTCCTAGCTGCTGCTCCTCTCCTGATCCAGCTCTCTGCTGTGGCCTGAGAAAGCAGCAGAAGATGGTCCTAGTGCTTGGTCCCTGCACCTGCATGGGAGACCTGGAAGAAGCTCCTGGCTCTTGGCTTCAGAATGGCCCAGCTCCAGCCATTCCAGCCATTCCAGCCATTTGGGGAGTAAACTAGCAGATAGAAGACCTCTCTCTCTCTCTCTCTCTCTCCTTTCTGTAACTCTCTCAAAAAAATAAATCTTAAAAAAACCTTATTTCCCACAAAACAACCTCACAAGAATACATGTAGATATATAATCCACAGCAATGTACATTCCTTAGATCCACCTCAACACTTTTGGGTGTGGGAGTAGGGTGGACTGGGATTATTCTGTGCAGGGCCTGACAGAGCTAGTGGTCAGGAACCTGCAGTCTGTCCTGGCTTGTGTAGAGAACAATGACCTCAGGTTGGGTTCACGGTGACTGTGTTTGTTAGCCTCTAGCCTTCCCTGTCTACCCTCGCCCATGGGGGTCTCTCTAATCCCTGCGTTTCAGTTGTCTGTGTTGTTCCCATGGCTCATCACAGGGGAAGCAGTATCTTCTACAGTGCAGCCATGGTGTGCTGGCCGCTGTTGTCCCAACTCAGTAAATCCTGAGCTCTTGGGTGGCATCTTATATATGGCGTTGGCACTGGGATGTAAACATGCCTCCCCTTCCAAGCCTGTGGCGACATTGGAACCAAAATCCAACCGTTTTTTCCAGACACTCCCCTGTGGATGGCGTAGGGTAGTCAGTGCACGGAGTTACAGAGCTCAGTGGGTGCAGGAGGTGGGAGCCGGGCCACTCTGCCCCAGGTGGTGACGGTGCCATCCCCCGTGCGGCTCCAGGAGAAGGTGGAGATGCAGAGGCAGCGCTTCCGGCTGGAGTTTGAGAAGCATCGGGGCTACCTTGCCGTGGAGGAGCAGCTGCAGCTGCGGCGGCTGGAGGAAGAGGAGCGAGGCACGCTGCAGAGGCTGCGGGACAGCAAAAGCCGGCTGGCCCAGCACAACAAGGCCCTGAGGGAGCTGGCTGAGGAGCTGGAGGAGCGGAGCCGGCGCCGGACCTTGACCTGCTGGAGGTGAGGCCAGGCCCTGGGGCACGGGCAGGCTCAGGGATGTCACAGGCAGTGCTGGCATTACCCGCCAAGGAGACGTCCTCACCCTAGACACCAGCGTCAGAGTCCGAGGGGCCCTGGAGAACCGGGTTGTGCATGGGAAGGCAGAGCCTAAATATTTAAACAGCTGAAGTCCATGTAGTGATTTAGGAACACACAGTTAGGAGAAGGCCAGCTGCAGTGAGAAGCCCTGTGTGAGTGGTGCCTGTGCTGGTTTTCAGCGATGTCCCGTGTCCAGTCCAGAAGTCTCTGGGGACCCAAAGGATGCTGGGTGTGTTACACTGTGCAACACACTGTGCAGCAGGAAACCCCACGTTAAACTGTAGGTCTGGTGCTGATGCCTTAGCTTGTGCCCTGTGCCCATCCCAGTACTCCCGTGTGAGTCTCTGTCTGCTTGGGAATGGAGAGCAGGCAGAGGCCTCACAGGGCACAGGGCACGAGCCACAGGGCATAGGGCCCAGGCACAGGGCACAGAGCTGTTCACTTTGAGTTCCCCTTGAGAGCGTGGGGAAAGCCCTGGCTGCTGTTGTGTGTGTTGTCTCTGTGGAATCTGCAGGAGAAATTCAGCCATCAAAGTGAAGATGCCCATACCCCATATCAGCTTGCTTGGGTTCAAGTCCCAATTCTGCTGCCAGTTCTGGCTTCCTGCCATCAAGAAGCAGGTGTTGACTCAAGTACTTGGGTGCCTGCCATCCATGAGGGAGACACAGATGGAGTCCAGGCTCCTGGCCTTGGCCTGGCCTGGTCTGGTCCCGGTGATTGTGAGCATCTGGGGAGTGAACCAGTGCATGAGAAAGTCTGTCTGTCTGTCTCTCTGCCTTTCAAATGAAATAAATAAGTAAATAAAAAGAAGAAAAAAAAACAGAAAGGGAAAGCAACTTTCTGGGCATCCTCTGTGTATCGGCCCAGAATTCTGAACGGATTTCCTGGAGTCCCCCTCCTTAAGGCAGCTCCAGACATCGCGGGCACCATGCACACACATGGTCACGTGAGTGATCTGTGCAATGCTTGCAAGCAGTCAGTGAACCCTGCTTCTGACAGGGAGGGAGCTTCAATAAATTAGCTCTACAACATGTTTATTTACAAAACATTGCTATTTAAATTTCTCTTCTTCAAAGTATCTATGTAAAAGTCAAATGTATTATTAACACATTTCCTTATGAATTAATAAGGAGTCAGGCATAAATTAATTTCTAAATGACAGCAATAAACACAGGAATCCCAATATTCTCAGTGACATTCACTATCTTACCTCACAATACCTCAAATATCTTATTTAAAGTGAAAATTTCTTAGCACCTAATAAGTGTTAAAATGAATAACAGACATCTGAGAGAGAATATATTCTCAAACAGTAGGCACTCATCTATAATAGCAGCCACAGGGAGAATGTGTATGTAAACAGAAGGCACTCATCTATAATAGCAGCCACAGGGAGAATGTGTATGTAAACAGAAGGCACTCATCTATAATAGCAGCCACAGGGAGAAGGTGTATGTAAACAGAAGGCACTCATGTATAAGAGAAGCAGCAGGGAGAGCATGCATGTAAACAGTAGGCACTCAGCAGTGCTCTCAGCAGTAGACAGTTGTTTTGCCGCTCACCTTTCCCTTCCTTCCCTGCTGCCATTTTCCCCACAGCCAAGGCACAGTCCTTCCAGTCCTGGGCTGAGGGCGGGGGGATGAATTTCACACCAGTCAGTTTTTCTGATGGGTGACTTTTTCCAGAGAGGAGTGACTTACTTAACAACTGCCCCAAAGATAAAATGTTGCTAGACGGGAGTGCCTTTCTGCTTTATCTAATTAGGTGACGCCCAAATGAGCAGCTCTGCCATCTGTGTCCAAGCACTGGGAATTTGGGGTTCTCGCAGAGACATCAAGGCTGACATTGTACATCTGTACTTACAATGATTGCTCAAATTCTCCGGGTTTAGATCCATCACACCATAATTCCACCTGCAATTGATGCAGAATGTGATGCTTTATTAAAATACCCAAGTGAGAGGATATCGATTGAGGGAAACACTAGCACTGGTAGAGTGGATAGGTGCTGTGCGGGCTGATTCTGTCTGCAGACCCACAGGGAGTGAGGCTTGAATGAAGGCAGATGCACTGTCCCCGACAGTTTTACCTTAAACAAGACAAATTCCCCATAGTTCTCAGGCGTTCTCCAAGCGTGCCCAGAGTGGGTGTGAGGGGCAGCTCAGAGGTCTGACCCTTGTGTCTCTTTCACTTTTAGGGAGTAGGAGGAGCCTTGGGCAGGTATGTCGACTTTGCATCTCCAAGGGAGGGGTGGGCAGAGCAGGCAGGCGGGGCCCCGCCCACGCCTGTGACTGTTGGTTCTGTGCCCCATCCAGAAGTGAGGCTGTGACTCGCCCGGAGCTGGAGACCATCCCCTGGAGCTGAGGACGCTGTGCCGCATCCCGGGCATGCGAGACATGCTGAGGAGGTTCCGGGGTACGTAGCACCTCGTACCTGCAGAGCTGTGCCTAGGGCTTGGGGCTTCCGCGCTTGCTCTGTGTGGGTGGGCTGCAGGGGCCATGGCAGCAAAGCGTTCTCTCGAGATCTTGCAGCTGCTTTGCTGCAGGAGTCTGGGACTTTGGGCCACAGCCTCTGACCCCAAGACCCACGCTGACAGAGTTGTACCCCCTTCTTGTGCTGGTAGCCATGGGAAGGAAGGCTATGAATGAGGGAGAGGAAGGCATGCCTGTGCTCTCACATGGCCGGGCAACACAGCACCTCTGGTCACCAGATGGCCATTCTGCAGTGCCCTCTTGGCATGTATACCCTTGTTCAGCTGGATTCTGGCACCGTTCAGAGACAGTGCCAGCCCCAGGGGCTGAGGGCTAAGTGCGCAAAGCACCCCACTGTTTCCTCCAGCACCCAGCCCCCAAGCTGAGCTGTCCAGCCACTTACCCTGCCCCAGGCATTTCAGCGGGGTCTAAGAGACGCTGTCATTTCTCTGGAGAGTCCAGATGTGGCCGCCAGGTTCATGGTTGGCAGATTTTTAAAATTTGTTGTTTATTTATATAGACAACAGATTTCATGTAGTTCATGGATACAGTTCTGAGATAATTCCCTGCCTCCTTCTCCCATCCTTCCTTCCTCTTTTGCTCTTTCATTCTTCCTAAAGTTTTGCAATAGCATATTTTTAATTTACTTTATAGTCGCAGGCTGAATGTGTCACTAAAAGTTCAACAGGTAAAAGCAGGAAGACCACTGTTCAGCAGGAATGAACACTAACCCAACCCAAGATGTCAATTTCACTCATTGACATTAATTTTTGTATCTTCTCTATATTAGCTACCACAAATCAGGAAAATGTGGCGGTTGTCTGTGGTTCTGGCCTATTTCACCAAACATAATGGTCTCCAGGTGCATCCATCTTGTGAAAATCAGGATTTCATTCTTTTTATGGCTGTGCATTATTCTATAGTGTATATATACCACATTTTCTTTATCCAGTCATCAATTGATGAACATCTAGGTTAATTCATTGGCATTTTGATTAAGATTGCACTGAATCTGTAAATCGCATTTAGATGGTATCAGTTCTTCCAATCTACCGACATAGAAGATTTTTTCCATCTGGCAGTTTTGATTGACATCTAGGACTTGCAGTCCTTTGCTCTCTGTGCATGTGGCTTCCCAGCATGCACCTGGAATACCCACTGCACAAAACCACAATGCTGATGATATCATGTTGATTGCGCAATGATTTAGGGTTGCTCCAAAGTCAGACAGGGTCTCACTGTGCACGTGCCATAAGCTAGACTTTTCTGATTTGTCTGAGTTCCCATTTTCTCAGAACTCTTGAGCCACAAGGTAGACTACCAGGTGGGTGGTCTTGGGTGAGACCAGGTGGAGCTCAGGGTCCCTGGTAGCTCACGGCCCCTGGGGGTCTCGGGCCCCTCCGTGGTCGCGCGTGTCTAACTGTGCACACAGCACATCCAGTATATTGTTTCTGGACACGCAACAAGCCTCATCAAATCCCCATGCCACGAACAGGGCCTGGCGAGTCTGGCAGGAGTCAGACTAAGCACGCATGAGGACTTCCTACGGGTTTAGGGGCTTCCAACGCTTCTGCACCGTGCAACAGGGTCCCCGCCTGCCGGCGCATCCAGAGGACAGGACCTTGCGGCCGAGTCTGCGCCAGACGACACCTGGCTCTGGGGGCCGTGGCCGCCGAAGGTGCCAGAAAGGCACAGGTGCGCGCTCTGCCTGCTGGAGCCAGGCTGGGGCGATGTGGGGGTGCTTCCCGCCCGGCCCCTACCGAGGTCTGATCCGCCCTTTACTCCTCCGCACGACCCCGGCAGCTGACGTGAAGCTGGACCCGGCCACGGCGCACCCCAGCCTGCTGCTGACCGCCGACCTCCGCAGCGTGCAGGATGGCGCGCGCCCCAGGGGCGTCCCCGGCAACCCCGAGCGCTTCGACACGTGGCCGTGCGTGCTGGGCCTGCAGGGCTTCTCGTCCGGGCGCCACTACTGGGAGGTCACCATCGGAGAGCGCGCCGAGTGGGGCCTGGGCGTGTGCCAAGACGCTGAGCCGCGGGCCGGGGAGAGCACGCCGTCCCCGGAGCACGGGGTCTGGGCCGTGTGGCTGCTGCGCGACGACGAATACCTGGTGCTGGCCTCGCCGCCCGCGCCTGCCGTGCGCTCGCGCCGGCCACGCCGCGTGGGCGTGTTCCTGGACTACGAGGCGGGAGAAGTGTCCTTCTACGACGCCGCCGACGGCGCGCACATCTACTCGTTCCGCCAGCTCTTCGCGGGCATACTGCGACCCTATTTCTTCGTGTGCGACCGCACGCCGCTGGTCCTGCAGCCGCTGGGCGACGCCGGGGAGGGGAGAGGAGGCGGCCTGAGGCCCGGGGGAGGGCGGGCACTGTCCTTTTCAAGCCCCCGGAGCGCCCCGGAACTGTGCGCGGGAGGAGCGCGCGGGGGGGAGTGGACTCCGCTCCGCAGCGCTCCGCACGTGTCCCGCGGCTTCCTCCCTGCCAGCGGCTATGTGTAGGCAGACTCTTGCGCCTTCACCTTCACCTCCTTGCTCCCCGGCCCTCTCGTCCCGGGTCTGTGGTCCCTGCGGCTTGGCAGTGGCGCTTCCGCAGCCCCTGGGCGCCACCTTCGGTGCCGGCTCCCTGCGCCGCTCTCCTCCCCGCTGCGCCTCTGCCTGTCCCTCGTTCTCCTCCTTACCGCAGTGGTGTGTTTACCGTGTGGCTTCACACTAACGTTGACCCCCATGCTCTCCCAAGACAAGGTGTGGACCCCATGCTCTCCCAAGACAAGGTGTGGACCACTCCCTGCGCCTTCGTGGCCATCATACCTGGGCCCAGGTGCCACCCACATCTCTGTCCCCGCGCCCCTCGCAGCTTCCATAGCTGTGCTCAGGTGCTGGCCACCGCCGTCGCCACCGCCTCGCTCCTCGCGCCCTGGCTCTCCTGTCGTGATCGCCTCTTCATTTTTCTTACCCGATTCTGAGAAGCTTTCCGCGATTTTCTCTGGAATTTTGATTCGTTACCAGCACAATCTCATGCATCCGTATCTATTTCCTACATCAGCCTACACAGCTTAAACGCAAAGTGTCTGGAACTGAGCCCTGCATCTCCCCACGCCTGCCTCTAAGGAGAAGAGAGCTTCCTGGACTTCTTCATCTGAGGGAGACCACCCTGCTGGTCACCTGTGGAGGCCGCGCACCTGCTGGTCACCTCTGGAAGCCACACACTGTTGGCGCCCTTCTGGATTCCACCATGCGTAGAACCCACGAGCACCTCTTTCAGGGCCTGCCCAGAGCCCAGATCCCAGAGCCCCGAGCTCCCTAACTGCCCCATTGCTGGCCGCCAGGCTCTCCCCCACCCTTCTCAGTGCAGCAGCGCCAGGGCTGCCATCCAGTGCCCAGGATGGTGGTGCCCTTGCCCTGAGTTCCCATTCAACTGAGAGTGGTGGGCTTCGGGCCCAAGGCAGGTGAACTCTGATCCCTTCTCTGGCTCCGGCTCCCTCTGCGCTCTGCTCCAACTCCCCTGGCCTTATGGCTGGGTTGACACCAAGCAGATGCTTGCATCGTGGGGCTTTCCAAACTCTGGCTGCTGCTTGGAATCCCCCACCCGCTGAGGTCCCCCGACTGCTCCCTCCACGCCAAGCCTGCTGAATCCTGTGGGTGACACAGCCGCCCACCCAGGGCTCAGGGTCCCAGCCCTGGCACTGGACTCATGGAGACTTTCTCCATATATTGCATCAGCTTCTAGTGTATGGTACTCTCGTGCACTTTATTATTTATTTATTATTTATTTATTCTTTGCCTTGTTGCTAAAGAGTGAGCATCAGCAGTGGAGGGATCTCTGTCTGCTGGTGACATCTCCCAATCACCTCAGACGCTGGTTCTTGCTCAGTTCATGTTTGTTGAATGAATGCATGACTCACTGTCTGGAGAGCAGAATTAAATAATGGATCTGAGAGTGTTCTGTGGAGGTGTTTTGCAGGGTGCTGAGAGAGAGCCCTGAGTGAGGGGACTGGGAGGAGGGGGGTCTGCGGCTGGAAGTGCAGCAGCCTCATCCGGCAGCAGAAGTCGGGGACAAATTCCGAGTGGTGCTGGTGATCCCGCCTGCTCCTGTGTGCCCTGCGAGTCTGCTCATATGTTCCTCAGGGAGGAGGAGGGAGCCCAGGTGCCTGCATGTGTGTAGAACATGCACCTGCCTGTGTACATGTGCACACGCACCTGCAGGCAGAGTCTTCCTTGCTCTGATTCGGTGATGACGTCTGTTCCACGGTGCCTGAGCATTCGCCTTCACCTGACTTCACTTCACGTGAACGTGCACCCCGTGACGTCATCCCCCACCCAGTGCACCAGGCTTGCTCTTTTAGTCTGGGAAAGTCGTGGTGAAAGGAAGGCATACAATCCCAGTTGCCCTGCTTCTGGAGATCTAAGGAGGAAGGGAACGCTCGCGGTGTCCCTCTGGGTAGGGCGGGGCTGATTTCGCCCGGGCTCGGGCTCTTCACCGGCGTGATCCTTCTTGGGAACACTGGCCCCTGGGTGCCTAGGGAACTGCTGTGTTGACAACAACACATCGACTCCCTGGTTTTGCTTACCTGAGGGACTGCATGGCTTTTACGTCAAGCAGCACAATCCCAGGATCCTCATTTTCTGGGTAGACCCTGGGGAGTTGGGGGAGTCTGAGGAGATGCAGGCCTGAGTGCGGTAAGGGCCCCCAGGGGTCAGAAGCCCCCACACTTGAGGGAGGCTGGTGAGCCTGGACCAGCCCCTGGCCCCTGGCATCCCTCCCCCAAGGAGCTGCACCAGCTCAGAGGTGGCACCGCCCTGTGCACAAAGGCAGCGTCGCAGACCTGCAGAGGGTAAGGCCAAACCCAGACAGGCACCTGCGTTTCCTCCTGCAGGTGCAGGTGCAGGTGCACCTGTGTGGGAGTGGAGGGGAAGACACCTCCAGGGCCCTGACTTCTGAGGCTGCCCCACAGTGCAGGAATGAGATGGTGAGTAGCTTCTGCACTGGGGTGCCCAGCTCAGATGTCGGCACTTGGCTGTGGGTTTGAGGAAGTGCCTGACAGCTAAAGAAACAGCATCTGAGTATCGCCCTCCTGGTCAGGGAGTGTGCTGGTGCCGACAGATGCAGAGACACAGACACACACGGGGCAGCCGCACGGTGCCTCCTGTGCTTTGTCTCACAAAGCAGTGCATTTATCCATGCAGATTTATTCTCTGTATCGTTACAAGTTTAGAATATGTGCTGCCGGGGCAAGCACCAGATTTATTCTCAAAAGATTAAATACGAAAGTGTGGGGAGACAACACGAAGAAACACATTTTTTAAACATTAGAGTTAGACCTTGTAGGGGGAAGGACTCTCTAGGATTCGTCAGCAGAATCAAGGAAAGGGATCTATGGTGTGAGTTTTATTTTGCCTGAGAGGGACCCCTCAGCCTGCACCCCCTGCCCCGAGGGCACCCGCGTGTCTCTGCTTGCCAGCCACGCTTCTGCTTCCGTTGTTTTCAAGGTCTTTAATATTCCAGGTTTAAAGATTTATCTGTATTTTAAGATTTCAAAGCTACATTTTTATCTAAAAATGTGAGCATTTAAAAATGAACTGAAATCGTCCATCCTGTGAGTGCCCCAGTCTCCAGGAGCTGAGACAAGCATGGGTCCTGGCTATGGCTTGGGTGCAAACACATCTGAGATGAGCAGGGGCACTGGGGGTGGTGACTGCTCTGCCAGCACCCTGGGCAGAAGGGCATTGCCCTGTGACTCTGGGCACACCCCTGGGCTCCCAGGCTCCCAGCTACACTGTCCCCCGAGTGGGTGGCCACCTGTCTGAGCAACCCCCGGTCTGCAGTCCTTGGTCTGTTTGCTGGAGGATTCAGTTATTGCCCGTAGTGTGGCGTCACGGAGAGGCACTGTTTCCTGTGGTGGGGGGTAGGGAGGGCGAGATTTGAAGAGTGCAGTACTAGGTCTTCCAGGGGACCTTGTATGGTGCTTGGTCACCTGGTGGGTGGCCCAGCTTAGCAGAGCACCTGTGCTGTGCCAGGTGTGAGAGATGGCTTGGTCTGGTCGGCACCAGGAGGGGAACCTTGACAGTGGTGACAAATCCATGTGACGTGCAGGGCACTTTGCTATGTACAAGCAAAGGTGCCTAAGTAGGGCCAACAAGATCCAGTCTACGGTGGCTGCAGAGGGACTTGGGGAGGGTGGGAGGCCCAGAGAACTGTGCACCAGGACCCTTATGTTGAACAGGATCCGCCTTTCCCACCCGGTCAGGCTTGAACGTTCCTGAGAGGTGTGCGGCAGCCCCAGGGCACTGCAGGGACAAGTCCTCCCGCCCTGTGCTTGTGCTTTGGGCTTGGGGAGAGAAGCAGCATTCATTCCACCATTTGAAAAACCTCATTTATTTATTCCCATTTATTTATTTATTGCCCATTTGAAAACTCATCTTTGCTGAGTCCACCCAGGTTTGGACGACAGCATGATATGCCCTCTGGGGGACTCTGGCGGGGGGCAGGGCCCAAAGGAGTGGGCATCAGCAGCTTTCTCTGAGAGGAGAGATGGCTGCACGGTGGCTAGGAAGCCTGAGTCCAGCGTCCCCTTTAAATCTGCGCAAGTCCCCAGGGGAGCCTGCCCACCAGCCCGGCCAGGAGACAATCCTGGCATCCAGAGTCAGCCCCGGCCACCACTCCGCTCTCCTGTTACAGCCGGCTTGCGACTGAGACCCTGAGGCTGCACAGAGCTTTGCCAGGTGCGGTGGAATTACTGCAGTGACCTGTGCCTTTCTCCCTGCTGTTCACTGTTTTCATTTTAGGAAATTCTTGTTTAGTAAGGTGGCTGGGACGATGATCCCTGAGAGGGATGATGGAGTGAAGAGGATGCAGCAGCGAGTGCAGAGGACAGGAAACAGTGCATAGGGAATCCTCTGACTCCAACGTTCTACCACACACACACGTGCTCTTCCCAACGCCATGAGCTCGCTGGGTATTAGGTGTTAAAGACGGGGTCATGGGAAATGAAAGTCACCCTGAGCTGGAAGTGTGTGCTTGGAGATCCTGGTGCTGTTTAAGGGAAAACCCAGCCACACCTACACACACCCCTGTGTTCCACTGTATGCAGGATCTCCATCATACAATTCGTGATGTATCCCCAGAGAGAGAGCAGGTGACAGGGCAATGCAGTGACACTACACACAACCTCTCTCTATGCTCTATTTAACTTCCCACTTGTTTAGAGTATTATTCTTTTGGATAAACTTCCGGCTGATGTCACATACACATACTTCTGAGACGTTGCTGAAATTTGTCTCCAGCTCAAAGCGGTGTCGTCGTCTGTTGACTCATGCCTGGAACGTCACCCATGTGCATTACTTCAAAGTATTTTCTACTTCAGGGCTACAAGAATGAAGAATCTAGGGGTGGCTGTATATCAGTTGGGAGTTAATAAATGCAGGATACATTACTAGGCGTGAAATTAGTGAGGCCAAAGTAAAGGCGTGATTTTAAGTTCAATGGGAGACATTTGTTTCTTTTGTTAAAATGACACTTATGGGGGGGGTGTTCGATATAGCAGATCAGACACTGACTGGGATACCTGTAACCCAATCAGAGTGCCTGGTTGCAGGAACCGCTCCATTCCCGACGCCAGCTCCTTGCTCACACACACACTAAGAGCCAGCAGGTCATCCATGTGGGATAGCTGGATTGAGCGCCAGCCCGCAAATTCTGCCTGGTCCCGGCTCTCCTGTGAGGGCATGTGTGAAGCTGCTGAAGGGAGATGCATCCCCACCCCTCTCTCTCCACCTCCCCTCATCACTCCGTCTCACTGCCTTTCAACATATTAGATAAGTGAAGGTATAACACAGTGTCAAGATGTGTGTGTGTATGTTTAAAACAGTAATATTTTAGGGATCGCTGAGAGGTGCCATTCCGCATAAACCCAGGGTCCATGGGAGTGGCATTTCCCACTTCTGACCTCTGGGCAGGGCTGGGTTTCCAAGCACTCACCTGTGTGGAGAGGAATGCTGCATTTGTGTTTTAGCTTTCCTAGCACAGGCCTCTGTGAGGACACTCACAATGTTTAAAGTGACTTAGGTGCTTGTATGGCATTATTTTCTGTGAAATGCTTCTTCAAAGTAATTGGCTGCTTTCATTTTGTTACAGATCCTCCTGGCCTAATGCATTGAAAAAACAAAACATTAAACAAGGTAGACGTTCGATTGTCTTGAACAATCGTCCTACTTCTCCAGACTGTGTCGTTACGGCCGCCCACAGTGCACAGGAGTGCTTTAATACGCACCAACATTAAACTCAAATCTTGCAACACAGCAAACAGTAAGTCTGATGATGCGGGGTGCTCCTGTCAGTGTGGGTAACTGTTCCTGGCAGGAGAGATGGACGGGACCAACGACAGCAGCCTTGGGGACTTCATCCTGGTGGGCTTCTCCCACCACCCCCTTCTGGAGAGGGTCCTGTTTGCGGTCATCCTGATCGCCTATGTGCTGACCCTGGTGGGCAACAGCGCCATCATCCTGGTGTCCCGGCTGGACCCGCACCTGCGCACCCCCATGTACTTCTTCCTCACCCACCTGTCCTTCCTGGACCTGAGCTTCACCAGCAGTTCCATCCCCCAGCTGCTCTACAACCTGAGTGGGCAGGACAAGACCATCAGCTACGCGGGCTGCTCCGTGCAGCTCTTCCTGTTCCTGGCGCTGGGGGGCGTGGAGTGCCTGCTCCTGGCCGTCATGGCCTACGACCGCTTCGTGGCCATCTGCAGGCCCCTGCACTACTTGGCGATGATGAGTCCCAGGCTCTGCCTGGGGCTGGTGTCCATGGCCTGGGGCTGTGGGGTGGCCAACTCCCTGGCCATGTCTCCAGTGACCCTGAGCCTGCCACGCTGCGGGCACCGGCATGTGGACCACTACCTGTGTGAGATGCCGGCCCTCATCCGCATGGCCTGTGTGGACACGGCAGCTGTGGAAGGCAGCGTCTTTGTCCTGGCGGTGGGCATCGTGCTGTGCCCCCTGGCGTTCATCCTGGTCTCCTATGGCTACATCCTGAGGGCAGTGTTAAGGATGCACTCCTCCTCGGGAAGGCACAAAGTCTTCAACACCTGCGGCTCGCACCTGACAGTGGTGTCGCTGTTCTACGGGAACATCGTCTACATGTACATGCAGCCGGGCCGTGGCAGCTCCCAGGAGCAGGGCAAGGTGCTCACCCTCTTCTACAACATCGTCACGCCCCTGCTCAACCCCCTCATCTACACCCTCAGGAACAAGGAGGTGAAGGGGGCGCTGAGCAGGCTGCTGCTGGGGAGCAGAGAGGGAGAAGGCGTGAGCGGGGGAGCTGCAGCAGCAGGGCAAGGTCCTCACCCTCTGCTACACCACCGTCACACCCCTGCTCAACCCCCTCCTCTACACCCTCAGGAACAGGAGGTGAAGGGGGTGTTGACAGGTGGCAGCCTGTGGTTACTCTGTCTGTCCAGGCACTGACGCCATCTGGCGGCATTGGGCCAGACCTGCTGTAAGCCACAACCTCAACTCCTCCCTGTGCCCTGACCCCAGGTCTCAGCCAGGAGTCCAGGCTCTTTTGGACAGAACTGCTCCATGCACCTGCCCACAGCTGACATGTAGGGCAGCTCCAAGGTCAGACAGAGCGGGGAAGAGAGAAGCTTCCAGAAAAGCACATGGGGGTGTGCGCTGCACTGTGGTCTGTTGCTCTCTCTGTTGGTGCCTTGCGGATTCCAGGTCTTTTCCCCAGGATGACCCAAATCTCCCACTGCACTCGCCATGGTCCCAGGGCTTCTCTTGTCTCACTGCCACCCAAGGTGGACTTCAGCAAGGGCGCAGTGTCACAGTACAGATTTACAGAGTCACCGTTTCTCTATGCGTCCACCCAACCTGTGGCATTACCCCGAGGTCTGAGCTCCTGGATGGACCCTGATGGGAGCTGGCTGACCAGGCATGCAGTCACCCCCATGGCCTCAGCGCCTCTCAGGTTGGCTTTGGGCAGCGGCAGGACCTGACTGCGGTCCTCTCTGCCATGAGCCAGGAGCACAGGTCTGAGGTCAGTTCTGGTGTCTGGTCCCCGGGTGACTGCCTGCTCAGCGAGCCTGCAGGTGAAGCTGCTGCTCAGACCAGGGATGCTGACTTTGACTCCCAGTCCCCACAGGCTCCTGTTGACAAGGAGCAGGGTGCCTGCCTGTTTGTCGAGCTGCGTCCAGGACTCCCAGGCTAAAGAGCACGGTCCCTGCCCCTTCACACAGCTGCAGAGCAGGCAGCTTCCTGGGGGTCGTGACAGTGCCGATTATGTCCGTGCTGTGCAGGGGCCTGAGGCTCTGCATTTCTGCACCACCCAGGTGATGGCCTCGCTCCTGGGACCCAGACCACCTTTCCATGGCCTGGAACTCGATCCTCTGTGAGCTCTTTGCAGGGGGCGGGGTACAGGCTCCTCTGAGAATGGGGTATCGGGGGGTTGGGGACAAGGGGAATTGCAGGGGAGGTTGTGAGGGGAGAGGAAGCTGAGGGCTGGGGCTGCTTTCTTTGAGGCAACTCTGCCCTCTGTGCCCTGGCCTCTCAGCCTCCACTCCACTGAGGGCCAAGGGGATGCCTGCTCTCAGCCCACACCTCCTCCCTGCACTGAGTGCAGCCCCTGGGACTGAGGGCTGCACTCCCAGCGCACCCAGGAGAGGGCACTGCCTGCTTCGGGGGCCCTGTCCTAGTGCTCAAAGCTCTGGTCTCAGGGAGGAAGAGGTGCATGGCTGCCGGGGGCTCAGACCAGGCTGCCCCGGGGGTAGGGGGTTCTCTCTGAACAGTGTGCCCCCTTGCTGCCCCAGGTCCTGCCCCAGCCAAGGGATTCCACACAGGATCTGCCTGGCTCTCAGGGCTGCTCCACACCCTTCGCTTGGGAAGAGCTCCCTGGTGCACTGAGTGTCCACGGGACAGCCCCATTGCTGGGAATCCCAGGGTTCTGGGCTCTGCAGATAACATCCAGAGAGAAGGAGGTGGTTCATGTGGTTCTACCACAGGGAAGCATCTGGGCAGGCGGCAGAACCTGCTCTGGTCATCAATGACAGGGGTCAGCTGTCCAACCCTGGCAGGGCAGCTCCTACCGGAGGCCTGTGCAGTACGTATCAGGTGCAGGTAAGCACCCCCGTACTTGGGACTGGGGTGAACAGCGCAAGCAGACCCTCCCGCACGACCCTGAGAAGGCAGCCTCAGGACTCACAGATCCCGGGGTCACTGGGGCAGCTGCACTGTGCTGTGCTGGACGCCTCCACTACTGGAGTCTTCCTCACAGACAGTGTCCCTACCACATCGCCTGCATCAGCTCAGCTCCTGTACCTGTGCGGGGCCTGGGTCCAAGCCAGTTTCCTCCTATTTACCAGGCAAAGTATCTGAACCCTAAGGACACCCACAGAAAGGGCTGGATCTGCTGTTCTGGGACAGGCAGGGAGCAAGTGGCCCACACTCATGCTTCTTTTCTGCTCACAGGACTCACACAGCTGAGGTCCTGCTGTGGCCCCGCTGCAGATTTACCCACTTATTCAAGCTGAATACTTGGTGCCCCAGCTTGTCCCACAGTGAGGACCGTGGGGCTTGGAGATGCCCCTGCAGTGAAGGGGAGGGGGAGCTGGGTCCTGAACTGGGCTTTGCTGGCTGCAGGGATGGCTTCTGCTCCTGGCTGCTCAGCTGTGCTGCTTCTGCAGCCCTGAGCGTGTGGAGCCCTGCACCCGCAGACTGCAGAGTGGGAGCCCTGCACCCAGGGGCTGCAGAGTGGGAGCCCTGCACCCACGGGCTATGGAGTGGGAGCCCTGCACCCAGGGGCTATAGAGTGGGAGCCCTGCACCCAGGGGCTATAGAGTGGGAGCCCTGCACCCACAGGCTACAGAGTGGGAGTCCTGCACCCAGGGGCTGCAGAGTGGGAGCCCTGCACCCAGGGGCTGCAGAGTGGGAGCCCTGCACCCAGGGGCTGCAGAGTGGGAGTACTGCACCCACAGGCTATAGAGTGGGAGCCCTGCACCCAGGGGCTGCAGAGTGGGAGTCCTGTATCCACAGGCCACAGAGTGGGATCCCTGCACCCACAGGACGCAGGGTGGGAGCCATGCACCCACAGGCTACAGAGTGGGAGCCCTACACCCACAGGCCGCAAAATGGGAGCCCTGCACCCGGGGGCTGCAGAGTGGGAGTCCTGTACCCACAGGCTGCAGGGTGGGAGCCCTGCACCCACAGGCTACAGAGTGGGAGCCCTGCACCCGGGGGCTGCAGAGTGGGAGTCCTGTACCCACAGGCTACAGAGTGGGAGTCCTGTACCCAGGGGCTGCAGAGTGGGAGTCCTGTACCCACAGGCTACAGAGTGGGAGTCCTGTACCCACGGGCTGCAGAGTGGGAGCCCTGAACCCACAGGCTACAGAGTGGGAGTCCTGTACCCAGGGGCTGCAGAGCGGGAGCCCTAAACCCACAGGATATAGAGTGGGAGCCGTGCACCCACGGGCTGCAGAGTGGGAGCCCTGCACCTGCAGGCTGCAGAGTGGGAGGAAGCTCAGTCTTCCTGTGGGGAATGAGGTCCTCACTAGTTCATTCTGGATTTTGCTTCCCAATGGCTGAGGCTCCAGCCTCAACCAGCAACCCCGGGCTCCTCCGCATGGGCAGTCTTGGAAGTTCATCGTCCTTGTCAGGTGCAAGGCTGAACCCTCCCCGCCCCCACCCTGAGGCCATCCTGGTTTCTCAACCTAATTTTATGAAACCACTCCCACCTCTTAATGGACTTTCCACACTTTCCCTTTCCTGTCCCTCCTGCCCCCATGCGGTGGAGCTCACAGAAATGATGGTTCCTGTTTTCAATTAAGCACTGTCCTAGCTGAGGCTACTTTGCTTCCCAAGTCCCGTTTCTTACCCCTTGTGCTGATGGCACCTCTGACACCACCAGATCTGGTAGGAATAGGCCTCCTGTCGATGAACAGAAGCCTGATCACCTTTCCAGGAGACTTGGAGCTCAGGCCTTGGGAGCTGACTGAGAGGCCAAGGCTCTTGATTGAGAAAATTTCTTGGGGAGAAACCCACACTTGAGGCTCTCCATTGTCTGCCGTCTACACAGTGAGGCCAACCTGGGGATGGAGCCCCTTGTACCCCTGATCTTGTCCAGATTCCTTCCCTGTGTGAGCCGGGGCTTCCTGGCTCCGAGGGGTCCCCCATCACCACCCCTCTGCTGCAGACTATGCTCCTGATGAGCCTCCCATGGAGTATTCCCCTCGGTAGCAGCCGGGGGTGCTCACATTCTAAAACACACAGACAGCACATGTATGCATACATGACATGTGCACACGTGTATGTATTCACATTCGCATAGATTTGCACATGTGTGTGTGTGACTTAGATGAAGCAGTTCAGAGGAAGGGATTACTAGTCACACAGTGCAGGTGTGTGTGCTGCAGGCTGTGGGACGGCACAGGAGAGCAATTCCTGAATATCGTCTTATTTACAGTCAGCGTCGTGGGATTGTTTGCAGAACAAGGGATGCGCTGTGCTTTGCGCACTGTTTTCGCACACAGTGAGGTGCTCAACAACCTTGAAACTGAGTCAGTCTCTGCTGGCCACATTTCTCTGTGATTTGAGTCCCAGGTTTGTCACTGGGTCCTGCCCAGTGGGAAAGTCCCCAGCACGGGACCCTTAATCCAAACCTGGGATTCTTCCTGGTGCTGCTTTCTCACTCCTCCCCCTTCCCGTTTGCTTCCTTCCAGTCCTGCCGAAGTCCTGGCCTTCCCACTGCCCCGGTGACAGTGCAGCTCCACCGCCATAGCTGCCACCTTCCCTGTGTCGTCAGCATGTGTAGCATTGCTCCTTGTTGGATGAGTGACAAGACCTTGTGCCAGGAGAGTCCAGGGGTGGGAGCTTTCTGTTTCTCTTTTAAATAAATTAAGAAAATTAACATGCAGATGTCAAGTTGTGTGTGTGTGAAACCGCAACCTCTTTAGCATCTCTCCAGATGCTGTTCCAACTGAAACTCCAGTCGCTGGTTCCTGAGAACCATTCCTTTCCCACTACAATCTAGGCTCTAGACAGTATCACATTCCTCCCTTCTACCTGTTGTAAAAGGATTAAAAGATTTATTTATTTACTTGAAAGAGTTACACACAGAGAGAATGAGAGGCAGAGAGAGAGAGAGAGAGAGAGAGGTCTTCCATCCTCTGGTTCACTCCCCAGGTGGCTGCAACAGCCGGAGATGTGCCGATCTAAAGCCAGGAGCCAGGAGTTTCTTCTAGGTCTCCCATGTGGGTGCAGGGGACCAAGGACTTGGGTCATTTTCCACTGCTTTCCCAGGTCATAGCAGAGAGCTGGATTGGAAGTGGAGCAGCCAGGACTCAAACCGGCACCCATGTGGGATGCTGGTACTGCAGGTGGTGGCTTTACCTGCTATGCCACAGCACTGGCCCCCTCACCAATTTTTTAAAATAAAAGTATTAACCATGCTAGGCATTCAACTGCCTTCAGCTTTTCTGCTTTTGTTTCACCTGTAGATCTCTCTGGTAGCCATCTTAGAGAGCGTGGCTTTGTTTAATATGCAGTTGGGTTGACTCCTGTTCTGCCTCATAGCTGGGCTGGCCAAGCCTATGAGATGTAGGATCATCAGAGAAAGACAAGAACAGAACTTTGGTTGCCTTCTTAGGGCAGCTGTGAGAGCTCAGAGTGAGGACATCTGTAATGTGTGATTTGTTTGGCGTGGGGATAGCAGTGGGGCTACACCTTGGCCACTCCTCCCTGCCCAGGCTCTGACTGCTGGGTCTGAATGTGTGTGAGGCACACAGGGGAGTTTCTCCCCCAGGTTTTCTGCCCAGGACCTGCCTGTTCATCCTATGGCACTCATGTTCCTGGCTCTGAATCCAGGACAGGTGGGCTTCGTCTGGCTCCTTTGTTTGTATTTGTCCTAGCTTAAGAACACCTGTCAACATGCACAGTGGGGCGGATAATCCTGATCCTAGATCAGGCAATGACCACAGGGCAAATGTGCTCTCCAGGGCCATGGGCACCGTTGAGGGGTCGAGTTGTGGCCAGGGAGTCTTCCATCTGCTGCCCTCTCTGCCTGCAAGACTTGTGGGGACCTCACCGAAGACTTTTCTTTGAGTGGGATTCATTTCTCCAGCTGGATTCTCAGAGAAGCTTTTACTCATTTTTTTTATTGCATAAGAGTTTGTCCTTGTTTGTTTACTTATTTTGCTCAGCCAAGTTCTCCCAAGTTCATTGGAATGACACATATATACTCTATCTCAAGAGCAGACACAACAGAGGAGGGAGCTGTACGTGAGTGCTGCTTTAGAATATTCATGCTGTCCTGCATTACTTGTCTATCAGGTCCTGATGACGACCTCATGAATCTTGGCCAAATGAGCAGCATGATCCTGGGTTCCCACTGATGAAGAATCTGCAGTAGGCAAAGTTCCTCAAACACCATCGACAGAAAACCCCCGAACAACACTTTGTGGCTTCCTAAGTAGTGGCAGAGGCTCACAGGCTGGGGCTCCAGGGGAGTTGGAGCTGGGGACACAGCAGGATTTGTTACTCTGATAGGAATCAGGGTGGCCACAGCCGTGGCTTAGATCAAGTGTCCAGGGCCCGAGGCCTGGGGTGTCTCTCAGCTCTGGCCCCTGTCTCCTCGGGAACTAGCATAACTCAGGTGCCTTGGCTTGCAGGCCAGCGCGCCAGGGAGAACAGTGGCAAGAGCGCTGACTGCGTATCACTGCTGCTGGGTGAGGTGAGAACACAGAGGTGAAATCCACAGAGGGATGGTGGGCTCCCAAGAGACCCCGCTTGCTGGAGGGTGCTCCTGTTGGTGTGGGTAACTATCCCTGGCAGGAGAGATGGACGGGACCAACGACAGCAGCCTTGGGGACTTCATCCTGGTGGGCTTCTCCCACCACCCCCTTCTGGAGAGGGTCCTGTTTGCGGTCATCCTGATCGCCTATGTGCTGACCCTGGTGGGCAACAGCGCCATCATCCTGGTGTCCCGGCTGGACCCGCACCTGCGCACCCCCATGTACTTCTTCCTCACCCACCTGTCCTTCCTGGACCTGAGCTTCACCAGCAGTTCCATCCCCCAGCTGCTCTACAACCTGAGTGGGCAGGACAAGACCATCAGCTACGCGGGCTGCTCCGTGCAGCTCTTCCTGTTCCTGGCGCTGGGGGGCGTGGAATGCCTGCTCCTGGCCGTCATGGCCTACGACCGCTTCGTGGCCATCTGCAGGCCCCTGCACTACTTGGCGATGATGAGTCCCAGGCTCTGCCTGGGGCTGGTGTCCATGGCCTGGGGCTGTGGGGTGGCCAACTCCCTGGCCATGTCTCCAGTGACCCTGAGCCTGCCACGCTGCGGGCACCGGCATGTGGACCACTACCTGTGTGAGATGCCGGCCCTCATCCGCATGGCCTGTGTGGACACGGCAGCTGTGGAAGGCAGCGTCTTTGTCCTGGCGGTGGGCATCGTGCTGTGCCCCCTGGCGTTCATCCTGGTCTCCTATGGCTACATCCTGAGGGCAGTGTTAAGGATGCACTCCTCCTCGGGAAGGCACAAAGTCTTCAACACCTGCGGCTCGCACCTGACAGTGGTGTCGCTGTTCTACGGGAACATCGTCTACATGTACATGCAGCCAGGCCGTGGCAGCTCCCAGGAGCAGGGCAAGGTGCTCACCCTCTTCTACAACATCGTCACGCCCCTGCTCAACCCCCTCATCTACACCCTCAGGAACAAGGAGGTGAAGGGGCGCTGAGCAGGCTGGTTTTGGCAAAACTAAGCTTCAGGAAGAAGTTGTAATAAGAGGCACAGAGATGAAGTGCTGTGTACAGAACATGGGAGCTTTCATTCTTTTACCGTGATTTCCATCAACAGCATCTGTGCGACTTTGGCAGAGTTCAACAGAGACATGTGGCCACTCTCAGCTTTCTTCTGCATGAATCACTCTGGGCCATGTGAATTCTGACATTCAAAGCCAGCACCCCTGGGTGTGAGCTCTAGGGCCTGTGCTGGTCTAAGGGGGGGTTCCCCATAACCCCCAGGGCTGGGTGGGCTCTCATCAGTGTGCAAGGGAGAGAGAGGAATGTGGAAGTGGGGGTTCTCACCTGCACTTCCAGAGATGCTAAACCATCACTTGAGAAGTGAAAATTCCACTTCGATTGCCCAGTGTTTTCAATATTTAATTTGTAATTACTTGAAAGGTAGCGTTAGAGAGAGAGGAGCGAGTGTAGACTGTGCAGTAACAGGTCTCGTTCCAGATCAGAGACCATTTTGATGAGATTCAGCATAAAGGCAGCAGTGTCACTGAAATCTGTGGGGGACTGCCACACTCATGTCCCATTCCAGAGCGCCTGGGTCTGAGATCAGCTTCGTTCGGGACTCCAGCTTCCTGCCCGGGCACAGCCTGGGACACAGCCTGTGTGAGTGAGGGCGCAGCATGCCTGGGACTGAGTCCCACCTCCACGTTCATTCCAGCTTCCTGCTGAGGCAACCAGAAGGCAGCAGCTGATGCTCCCAACAGCCGTGTCGGAGACCCCACACATCCTGGGTGTCCTGGCTTCAGCCTGGCCCAGCCCTAGCTGGATCAGGCATCAGGGAGTGAACCAGTGGCTGGGGGATCTGCGTGTCTGTCTGTTTCTCTCTCTGCCTCTGTTTCTGCCTTTCAATAAATACATAAAATATATATCAATAAATCTTGTAAGTCTATGATATACTTTCCTTCCCAACAAAGAAAATAGCAATTACATCTCACCTAGTTGAAGGGATTCTAGTATCTCACGGTTTTTACAGGGTAGCTTGCCCATCACCTGAGGTCACATGAGATGGAGGATGTGGATGGGATTCCAAGGCACTCGGCAACAGAGATTATTAAGAAGGAAGAGCAGTGGCCCCTCAGGAAGTGCAGTACTGGATGGATGGGAGGCATCATGAGTGCAAGCTGTGTAGTGGGTCATTGCTGTCGTCACTGGTTTTATCAGGCAGACATGAGGAAGTCAACCTAAAAGTACAATTATATGCATACGTATAACCTAAGGACTTATGTATTTATTCCAAAGACAGAGTACTCCCACAGCAAGAATGTGGGCAGAGTTCTTCCTTCTTCTGTTTCACTCCCCAGGCCGCCTCAACAGCAAGGTGGCAGCCTAGCCTGCTGTGCCACAATGCTTCCCTCCAAATGCAATTATATTATGTATATGCAAACAAGTTGCTATGTGCAATTCATCATTGATTCTGTCAGATTGAACATGAGACAGAACAACAAAGCTAAAATCCACTGAGGCTTCATATTTTAGTGGCTGTTTCTGTCCAGAGCTGTAGCATGCTGTTGAAGTTCAGAACAATGCCAGGGCCACATTTCTTCACACTGCAATGTGATTTTCAATAACCATCCCTTCCCAAGAACTTTGGCTTGCGTCTTACTGTTCCCCTAACTTATTTGCTCTGTTTTGGTGAATCACAGCTTTCTGGGGCAGGTAGGAAGTACATCAAACTGGGAAACTTGAAATCCTCCCAACCCCACTCAAGGTAGAATCTTTGGAGCAGATCCTCAGCTGGGGCATGTTAATGAGACTGTGTTTGTAGCCAAGGCTGGCAAGAGGCCACACGCCTCCATGGAACACTCCAGGGGCTGATGCAAGATGCGGACATGGAGGAGTGGACGCTTGGGGGGGGGGGCAGGAAGACAGTGCCGCTGTGGGATGCGCCTGTGCGTCATACCTGTGCGCACACCCTGCTGCCTTCCTAGGATTCAGTGATTGGCTCAGCGTCTTAGCTCCAGAAGCTACATTTCTGCCACTCACTCTCCACAGTGTGGCTGGTTGCTCTCGTCTAGCTGCAGTCAAGAAATAAAGCATCTCCCACTGACAGCCACCCATCAATCTGTCAAGTGACTTACCTCTTAACCACTTCATTTTTTCCCATGGAACATCAATTAATCACTTCAACATTTCTGGTAAGGAATTTAGTTTTCATACCCAATTTTGGCAATAAAATTGGAAAATGCAGAATGGGAAATGATAGAATCTGTGCTAAATTTTCTATGATTGATCCAAGGGTTTTGTTGGAAAAACAAAGGCATTCATCTGTGCCTTCCAGTAGCGTTGAAGGGCAGTGTGAGGTTTAAGGCAGATGTGGCGAAGTCAGCATCACCCGAGTGAAAGGCTCCAGAAACTGCACAAACAGCGCCAGCAAAGCCCCAGCTTCCCGCAGTCCCAGAGAGGAGGAAAAGGAAAACCTGGATTTTTCCAGGGCAGACAAATTTCCTAGCCCAGCATCAGGCAGTTTTGAGCCTGTGTCTCCCCCCACCCCATTTAATTTTTAGGTATTTTAATTGCAAAATAACTCAATTTTTCATTATGAACTTCAACCGCTTTTTTTTTTTTTAATTTGTGGTTGACTTTTAGGAATTGTCACTCTTTGTGCTGACACACATTTAACTGGTGGCCAATGGTCTCACTTGTATAATATCGATGGAAAGTGATTTATTAGTAAAATAAATACCGCTATGAAGTCTGACAGAAAGGTGCTGACACCCTACTCAGCTTAAATTGACACATTTATTGACCTTTCCCTCCAATGACCTGAACATTATTCTATGCAGAATAGGCAATAATTTCATAATGATAGTCACTTTACACATTTATTGCTCATTTAGAAGTATAGATATATCACCTGTCACCATAAAAATCATGTGCTAATGATTTCCAATTAAAAGTCTCTTGGCCGGTACCGAGGCTCACTTGGCTAATCCTCCGCCTGCAACACCGGCACCCCGGGGTTCTAGTCCTGGTTGGGGCGCCAGATTCTGTCCCGGTTACTCCTCTTCCAGTCCAGTTCTCTGCTGTGGGCCCGGGATGTGCAGTGGAGGATGGCTCAGGTTCTGGGCCCTGCACCTGCATGGGAGACCAGGAGGAAGCACCTGGCTCCCAGCTTTGGGTCCGTGCAGCGCACCAGCCATAGTGGCCATTAGGGGGTGAACCAACAGAAAAGGAAGACCTTTCTCTCTGTCTCTCTCTCTCTCTCTAACTCTGCCTTTCAAAAAAAAAAAGTCTCTTAAACTTCAGAATAAGAAAATGCTTTTGTGAACCAAAAGCCTTGGTGGTTTTACAATTGTTCTCTAAAACTCACAGATCTCCTTGACGATGTAGGCAGAGTAACTGAAAAGATTGTAGTTTACGTGACATCCTATTTCTTATCGAAATAAGGGTGCTTAGAGACTGCTGACCGCGTCCTCACGGCAGCCCTGTGGGTGCTGAGCGTCTGCCTGGCCGGGTCCCCCAGGACAGTGCCTCCGCAGTCTGCCACCATGGACAACGCGAGCTCCACGGCAGACTTCGTTCTCCTGGGGCTCTTCAACCACACGCGAGCCCAGCAGCTTCTCTTTGCGCTGGTCCTGATCATTGCCTTCACCTCTGTGGTGGGCAATGCACTCATGCTTCTCCTGATTGCCCGGGACCGCCGGCTCCACACGCCCATGTACTTCCTCCTGAGCCAGCTCTCCCTCAATGACGTCATGCTGGTTTTCACCCACGGTGCCCAAAATGGCTGCCGACTACTTGACCGGAAGGAAGTCCATCTCCCGCACGGGGTGTGGGTCGCAGATTTTCTTCTTCCTGACCCTGGCCGGCGGGGAGAGCTTCCTCCTGGCGGCCATGTCCTACGACCGCTATGTGGCAATTTGCCACCCACTGCGCTACCTGGTTTTCATGAGCTGGCGCTTATGTCTGCAAGTGACCGTGGGGTCGTGGATCTGGGGGCTGCTGACGGCCTCCTGCAGGCTGCAGTCACCCTGAGCTTCCCGTTTTGCAGGTCACGTGAGATCAACCACTTCTTCTGCGAGGCTCCCGAACTGATGCGCCTGGCCTGTGCCCGCTCGTCTGTCTTTGAGTATGCCATGTACATCTGTTGCGTGTTGATGCTCCTGGTCCCCCTCTCCCTCATCATGATCTCCTACAGCCTCATCCTGGCTGCTGTTCTCCACATGCGCTCCACAAAAGCCTGCAAGAAGGCCTTGGCCACCTGCTCTTCCCACCTGGCTGTGGTGGGACTTCTTCATGGAGCCACCATGTTTGTCTACATGAGGTCCAGGTCCTCCAGGTCAGCCAGCCATGACAAAGCTGTGTCGGCCTTCTATGCCATCTTCAAACCCACTGCTGAACCCCTCATCTACAGCCTGAGGAACAGTGAGGTCAGGGGTGCCTGAGGAAGTGTGTGGCTCAGGGCGTCGCCTCTGGCCGGCAGGATTCCATTCCTCTGCCTCTGCTTTTGTGTCTCGGCAAAGTGACTGCATGGGGCGTCGTAGAATTCTCTGTACCCCTCTCCATGGGTGTGCCTCGGCTGTCCCCCAGCAGATCCTGGATGCTCAGATGGTGCTGAAGCCTAAACCGCACACCTTTTCCCTGTGCACATGCACAGGCTGTGCTGTGATGGTGGCAGCTTGTGGTCCTGCGGGGAAACGGACAAAAACTTCTGTTTCCTCCACAGTTCACAGAAGAGTTGTGTTCTATCACAGACCTTCCCAATGTCAGGGTCCCATTTTTCTTGTTTCCTCTTAAGTTGAGAATATTCACCTTTTCTTTGATAAGACTTATTTATTTATTTGAAGGAACAGCAGGGTGGGAGGAGAGAGAGAGAGAGAGAGAGAGAGAGAGGAGAGAGATCTTCCATCTCATTCCCCCAAATGGCTGCAACAGCCGCAGCTGGGCCAGGTTGCAGCTGGCATCCTGGAGCTCCATCCTGGTCTCCCCAGACTCCAGG